CAGTGGCACAATCTTGGCTCACTGTAGCCTTAACCATCCAGGCCCAGGTGATTCTTCCACCTCAGCCTCCTTGAGTAGCTGGGACCACAGGCAGGCATCCTCTGGTAATTTTTTGTATTTTTTGTAGAGACGGGCTTTTGCCATGTTGCCCAGGCTGGTCTCAAACTCTCGGGCTCAAGCAGTCCTCCCACCTCAGCCTCTCAAAGTGCTGGGATTATAGGCGGGAGGCCTGTACCAGGCCTCTTTCGCTAATTTTTTCTTAATGTAGCAAGAAATAATCGCTAGGGATTAAGTTACCATAGAAGACAATTTTCTGCTTCTTTGAGCTGCCTATTCAACCCGAACAGTTCACTTTGCATCCACCCTAGTTTTGCAAGGCACACCTGCCTTTAAAATAAATGTATCAGACCTTACAGGCAATAAATTTTCCCTCCTTTGATCTCTTATCACATTGTATTTCAAAACATCAAAGAGTCTAAAGCTGTGTCTTGAATAGTAGCCAAACCTCAAAAAGCACAGCTGAGTTTGATCTTAAGCCCACAAAATCAGAAGCCTTGCAAACTCAGCCACAACTCATTTTTTGAACCTCATAATAGTATGCTGAAATGGTTCTTTTCTGTCTGCAATTTTAAGGCTTAAAGGATTAGATAAAAATGTATAGCTGAATAATGAGATTTTTTTTTAACCCAAAGGCCGACCTCCTAACTAGCCATTATTCACATGATGATAGCAGGATCCTTCAGTATTGTCCCTACCCCAATGGGCCACTTTCCTCTAGATTACGGACAGAGAAGTGGGTTTGTCACAGATTCCTGAGTCAGTCCCTGCCACCCAATCTAAGTCAGTGCTGCCAGCCACCATCACTGCTGTCAGCTCAGGGTTCCAAACCTCTGCTCCCAGCGCCCTTCAACCCCTATTCATTGTCTTGTTTCCTGCAACTGCTTATTTTTTCAACACGTAGTTTACTCCAAGTGTAAGAAAACCACCCCTTCTTCACTCAACATGTATTATTAGTACACAGTTCCTTTACAAAGTTTTAAGGTGAACAAAGGATAATTACAGCACAGTGTAGAAACCTTCAAGTTGAAGTCTACATATCACTTTTATGAAAGGTTCCTCAGTCCTCCTGATCATCTTTCTCCACAAACACCTTCCTTTTGTCATGGTTCTGGATCCCTCTCTCTCCCTCCCTCCAAACCATTCTTCTATCTTTCTTATATTTCCTACTGCTATCAACTTTAGCCAAAGAGGGCATTTCTCAAATATCTGTTACTTTATTCTGCCAAGAAAATCTAAGCTTTTTATTTCACTCTTTTCCTTCCAGACATTGCCTAGAGACTTCAGCCTTTCAAACTAACCAAAAAAAAAAAAAGCCAATCAAGGTATCTTCTAAGCAAAAATTCACTTTTTTTCTGTGTAAGGAATGTGCCATTCTCCTAGGTATCTGGCAAAAGCTGTATGCATCCTTAAAATAATAATTTTTCCTTTCTGTTATTAAAACATACCAGAAATTTTGCAGTCAAATGACTGTTGTGCTCTCCAAAGAAGCACCATGAGAGGGTATTCACTTACTGAAATCATGTGATCATCACTCCAAATAGCTTCAATTATCTTCTAAACAATGTACTAATTCCTCCAGAAAAATGGCTCACTGGCATGTTCCAAGACATCTTCTTTTGGTCCAATTCTTTTACCTTTGCATTGAGTTCTCATTCTCATTACTACATTCATTCAATCAACTCACAAATTAACATGCCACGAGGTATGGCAGACACAGTCCTAGTACCCAAGTAATACAGAAGTGGCTATCCCAGTGCAAGCCATGAACCAAGGCTTGCGGGGTGGGGGGGCTCTGTGTCATTGGAGTAAGTCTGAAGTCAGAAGGAATTTTATCAAGCTGTCACTAGCTTATATAGATACTTTAGGCTTGAGAAGGACAGTTGTTGCCTGCAGACTGATCATCCATGCCTCTAGTTCATAGAGATAACAGTACATTTCTACAAGTAGGCTATTAATGCTGCCTCCCTCCTGAAAATATTGTATGTAGTTGGAATGCTTAAAATTGAACTGTACTAAACTCTCACTCCTTTTCACTCATTCATTTATTCATTCAACCAAAAAGTACATATTTTTCTATGGGCTAGAGGAGGAGGATGGCTGCATCTATGGAGTGTCACACTCATTTATAATTATGTTCTAGGCATGTGTCACATCAACTGAATAAACAAAGAATTGCCTGCTATCTTATCATCACAATAACACATCTTCATAATAGTTTTGAATCATTAGTTTAAAAACTTATTATATCTAATATATTATTGTGGAGAGAAGGCAAGAATATAACGTATTTTATTTTAAAAAGTAAAGTAATCTGTAAAAGTAATTAATTTAACTCTGCATTGGAAGTCTTAATCTTCAGCTATATGGAAAATTCCATTGTTCAGAAAGATACTTTTCTCCAAGGATTCCAGAGAATAAAATTTACTTGGTAATAATTTACAAGTCTATTTTAGGCAATTAAATGTCTTAATTCTGAAATAATTTTTAAATGAACTTCTCAAAATTTTTAATTTATATTTCATATGACATGTAAAAGAAGGAAAACTTGCATAACTGTTTCTTACGTTCCACTTTTGTTATTTGAGCCACTGCCAAAGAAAGTTGTGAGGTATCCAAAGTTTTTCTTTGGTATACTCCTCCCTAACTCCCCAAATCTTGGACAGCACTTTGAAGCTATGAGGCTCTGTGGCTGCTCAAGGCTTCTCCAGATCACTGAACCTGAAGACATCTCATCCCTGACTCATTCTTCAAAACATAACCGTCCTTAGTCATATTCCTTCCAGCACTCCACTGCAAATTGGGTTAACCTCATAAACTAACCCAAGTGTACTTATGAATTAATGATGACAGTAGGTTAATATGCTGCTGTTCTCAGAGAAATGAGCCAAACAATAGTAAATTTATAGAACTAAAATACTCTAAGAATAGGAAATCATTTTCCTATTTGCGGTCACTCACCAACTAAGTATTAAAAAAAATCAAGGGTTATGACAAAAAAAAATCAAGGGTTACAACAAAAGCAAACTAGCTTACATTTAACTTTAGTTCTTTAGTTTGAGAGAAAGAGGAAATGGAAAAATACTACTAATTGACATGTGTATATAGTTTGCATTTCTATTTAATGTCCCTATATAATATAATATATATATGTATATATTTTTATTTAGTTTAATATTTAAAAGAATGCTGTAAGTTCATATTATTCCTATTTTATAGATAAGAAAACTTATGTTCAAAGAGGTTATCTTACTGACCATCAAACAGCAAAGCTGGGACTCTAAATAATTCTAATTCCGAGTCAAGTGTTTTTCACTATGCCACAGCTTCTACAAGTGTTCATAATGCCTACTTTTAAATTAAATAAAAGAGACAGAAAAGTATACTACATACAGTAAGACTATACTTTGATTTCACATATAGCTGGTTTTCAAAGTAAATGGGACCTAAGATGGAGAGGGAGAGTGGGCAAGCCAAGCAAGAGGAAAAGAAAAATATTATGAGTCAGGGAATACCAAACACAGAGAAAAAGAATAAGGAAGGGAAAGAAAGCAAAAGACAGCTGCAACTGAAAGAAAGGATGAGCTGAAGTCCAGGCCGTTCCAGGTCCGCACTCGGTCTTGCTTCTAGCCACATGCAGACTTCACGTCTCCTGGCTCTGCACTCCTCCTCCTCTGTTTCGGCTGCTAAAACTCTTCCCTGGTCTAACTTGCACAGAGAGCTGTGGGCTACTATTTCCACAGATCCCCAGAGCCCTGACCTTATCTTGGTCTAATCACGGCAATCACCATTATTAGTTTTCCTTCCACTTATTCAGTGAACAAAACTAAAAGCAATTCACTTTAGAAATCTGCTTATCTCCTCTATCTCTGAGAATTAATGGAGACCCAAACACCTGCCTGATAATAATGAAAGTATTATGGCAGAAACAAAGCAACAAAGCCAAACCAGGACTTCTGTCACCTCGACAGTCAATGCCCAAAGTTGCCTATGTATCCATTTCTCACTGAAAAATCACTATCTCTGAGTTACACAATAGATAATAAAATGACTACACATAGTCACCACTTACATTTCTAAGTTTTTGTTTTAGTTAGTCAATTTATTATTTAGGTAAATTAGGTATAATTGCTTTCAAAAGGAGATAAACATCCTATATTACTAGCATTTAACACATTTCTTAAATAATTGGCATAATATGTTAATTAAAAGAACTGTGAATTTGAAGCTCTTAGTAAGTGAGTGACTTTGGGCAAATTACTTAATATCTTTGAACTTTAGGCTCTTCATCTATAACATGGGGCTAATAAAGGAGTATTAAACACAAAGGTAGTTTTTAAATAAGTTGAGTGCTTGAAACCGTACCTGGCATATAGCAAGGATTCAACAAATATTATTTCTTATTATTACTTCTATTAGCCATTAGCTTTGCCACCTAGCTGCATGAAACTTAACTATAGTATGCCTTTTTGCCTTTTTAAAAAATAGATTAATTGTAGAAGTTTTAGGAAAAACTTTAAACCCTATCTCTACTAATAATACAAAAATTAGCCAGGTGTGGTGGTGCATGCCTGTACTCCCAGCTACTCGGGAGGCTGAGGCAGGAGAATAGCTTGAACTAAAGAGGTGGAGGTTGCAGTGAGCCAAGATTGTGTCACTGCACTCCAGCCTGGGCGACAGAGTGAGATTCTGTCTAAGAAAGAGAGAGAGAGACAGAGAGAGAGAGAGAGAGAGAGAAAGAAACAAACAGAAAGAAACAGAAAGAACAAACTTTAAAAAATAACATATGGAAAGCAACAATGAAAAGTAAAAGTTGAATAGTGATAGATATATATTAAAATTGAAAAGCAGCACTGGCATCCTTTTACAACTGGTTTACCTCAAAGTCTATCAGCTGCAGGTCAGCTATCAGTGTCACCAGCAGGCCACTGTTGTACAGCTCCTGTGCCAGCTGAGCCACTGCTTCAGTCGGGGGTTCCTTTTCATTTGTACCACACAGAATTTCTTTCATTGCTTGCAGTGATTTTGACACTTCTTCTGAAGCCTAGTGAGCAAAACATATGCTAACATTTAAAAGAATAAAAATTTTTAGGCCATTAACAAACAAGTAATCCCAAAAAAACTACTTCTTGGGCCCTGTTTATTTATAATCAATGGTACAGTTACAAACAAGCCAAAATAGTAACCACTGCCTTTTTTATTTTGGAAAACATTACTAAAATTTACTTATATAAAAAAGCTCTCTTGCATTTCTACTTAGGCAACATAAATTCAATAATCTTTTAAACCACACTCATTGTCTAATTTTGCTAGCAATTCAACATAAATTTTACTCTTGAAAACTGATTCCATTTTGAAGATTTATCAGTAGCTACTAACCTTTATTTAAAGCACCGTGTTAAGGTTTTTCAGCAAATCCCTACTCTTCTGATTTTTGAATGGTCCAAGTATAAAATTGTAAGTTTTCAAAACTCATAAACTTCTTTGTTAATCCATTTATTCCTCATATGTAATCACTGTCTTCTTTGCTATCTATGAAACTTAAAAAAAACTCACTATATTTTAAAGAATACTAGGCAAATCCATAGAGGCAGAGAGTACATAGATTAGTGGGTGTTAGGGCCTGGGAGAGAGGAAAATAAGGAATGGCTGCTAGTGGCTACAGGGTTTCTTTCGGGGTGATGAAAATGTTCTAGAATTAGATAGTGGAGATGGTTGCACAACCTTGTGAATGTACTGAAAACCAGCAAATTGTACACTTTAAATAGTGAATTATATGGTATGTTAATTATATCTCAATTTAAAAATCTTTTAAACTAATGTAGATAGGAAAGAAGAGCAGGCTAGTTAATAATTTCTCTGAAATTTTAAAAGAAATATACTTTTATTACTTTTAAGTATAATACTATAATCATTATAAATGAAGAAGGAAATGAGTAGAATAAGGCAACTTACATAAAAATAACTCATGGTAGCATGACACTACTTTTATTATTTATTATTTTTTAATTTTTCTCTGGTTCTGCTTCTTGGGTGACACTACTTTTATTTATTTATTTATTTTTGAGACAGTTTTGCTCCTGTCACCCAGGCTGGAGTAGAATGGCACAATCTCAGCTCACTGCAACCTCTGGCTCCTAGGTTCAAGCGATTCTCCAACCTCATCTTCCCTAGGAGGTGGGATTACAGGCACCCACCACTATGCCTGGCTAATTTTTGTTTTAGTAGAGATGGCGTTTCACCATGTTGTCTAGGCTGGTCTCAAACTCCTGACCTTAGGTGATCCGCCCACCTCGGCTTCCCAAAGTGTTGGGATTACAGGCATGAGCCACTGGGCCTGGCTGACACTACTTTATAAAGTAATTTTTCATATACTTTAATAGCCTGACTGAAGCAATCCTTAATGTACTAAAGACTGGAAGCATCTTAAATTGTGAGATATATCCACAGAAGAGGGCTTTAAACATACATAGAGAGTATGTTTAAGAGAGAGTTAAGAATAATCATAAAGGAAACATCTTTGTGATCATCACTCAGTCAAGAAACAGAACATTTTCAGCACCTAGGAGTCACCTGAAGACCCTTTCAGCTTAGATGTAAATACTTTTATATCTATTGTGACAAACATGTCTTGTCTTTTCTTTACAGTTTTCATACCTATGTATGCATCCCAAAACAATATAGCTTAGTTCCACTGATTTTGAACTTTATGAACCAGCACATTACCCTTTCATGATTTGCTTCTTTCAGTCAACATTATATTTGAGAAATGCATCTATGCTGTGGCATGTAGGCAGAAATTCTTTAATCTTTATTGCTTTCTAGTGTTCCACCCTAATGCCCTATGCCACAACTTTTTTTTACTGGTTCTACTGTTCATGGACATTGGGTTGTTCCCATTGAGGGGTTTTTGCAAACTACAATGCTATGAAAATTCGTGTACATTTTTCCTGGTGTAGATGTGCAAGAATATCTCTAGAGTTTATACCTAGGAGTGGCACTACAGGATTTTAGTTTGTGCATATTTTCGTATTTCACAGATAATACTAAACTGGTTTCCAAAGCAGTTATATCAACATATACATCATCATCCACAGTTAATGAAAGTCCTCATTGCTCTCCATTCTTGACAACACTTAACATCATCACACCTTTTCATTTTTGCCAAGATGGGAGTTGCATAATGTGAATTTATTGTGTTTTTAGTTGGCCTTTTCGTAATTAGTAAAGAAAATGTATAAAAGATGTTTTTTTTCTTTTTTCCATCTTTTACCACTTAGATTTATACTTGTAAAAAGTCTATTTTTCTTCTATTTAGGCCAAGATTTGGCTCAATATTACAAAGTATAATGGAATTAAAATAAGCTATTTCTATACCCCTTACAGAATTCAAGATTGTATCATTTACTGGAATAGAAGACTACTATGAACTTGAGTATTTATTTTATAGATATCTTGAATCTTGTCATAAACTAGTCACTTTAGAGAGAAATCGAATATATAGGATTCAATATCCCTTTGAAGGAATAACTAACATTCCTGTTGAGGAAGCCCCACTTAATAAGACCTTAAAATTATATGAAAAGGAGATTTGCTGTAACAGAAACTATCAGTCAATCTTCAAATAAAAAACTTTTTACCTTTCATGTCAATGTAACATTACACACCATTATAACCTTTTAGGTTTTTAAGCTGTGTAGTCTAGAGGGACCCAGTGTTGGTCAGAATCTCGAGAGAGTAAACCTAAAGTTCATCACAACAGACTAAACAATAATCAGTTGCATAAAACCTGAAATCAACTTAAATCTATTTATAGAGACCCCATGTGCACATCACAGGCCATATTTTGAATTCCTCGTTAAGCTTTTACACTGATGTTTGGCATTGCAATGCATGTACTTTAATCATAATGTTACTGTTTTAGCTCATACCTTGTCTGTCTTTTTGTCTTGCTTTTCCAAAATGGCCAAATTGTCTTTCAGGATCTTCACAATTTCTGCTGGATTTTTGTGTGATTTACTAAACAAAGGCATTCTTTTCATGTGTAGAAATCTCTTCTTCCAATATGGAATGCTAAAAACAAATAAGCCAACAAAAAGTACAACTTTAACTCTTAATATGCTTAAATTTGGAACCAATATGTCTTATAAATTTTTAACAACATGAATTAGGTAATCTGAAACATTAAAAATGATCAAATTAAAATGAGTTCCAAGTTTTATGCCAAATGTAAATACATATAAAATATTTTTTAAATGTATTTTTAAAGTTTTGCTTGAAACTTTTTATACAAAGTTTAAAATCTTTTCTGCAATAGAAATATAAGGATTATGCAAGAAATAATTTTAGAGTCTAAGCTGATATGTAAAACTAGATATTTTGAACAAAGGAATAATAATATATTCTATAATATTAAGCTGTATGTATTCTATAATGTTTAGCTACTATTATTACGAGAAGGTCTATGACATAGTTAATGAATTATTTCACTAAAGAGAAAGGCACAGTAGTTGGGAGATGATTCTATCTTAAATGCCCTAGACATTTCTGGCTCTTTGAGTTAATTATACCTTTTTTCCATTATTAAAAAAAAACTTATCCTTTAAATGCATAATACTCAATGTTCAAATATTTTGCATTGAAGTAGAATTTTAAAAAGAAGCCAAATGCATTCATATATAGACATACCAAGGAGATACTGTAGGTTCAGTTCCAGACCATTGCAATAAAGCAAATTTCTCAATAAAGTGAGTCACAAAATGTATTTGGTTTCCTAGTACCTATAAAAGTTATATTTATGCTATACTGAAGCCTATAAAGTATGCAATAGTATTATATCTAAGAAAACAATATGTATGACTTAATTTATAAAAATATTTATTGCTAAAAATGCTAATGATCATCTGACCCTTCCTTCAGTGAGTCCTAATCTTTTTGCTGGTTGGAGAGTCTTGCAGGAATGTTGGTGGCTGCTGACTGATCAGGGTGTTGGTTGCTGAAGGCTGGAGTAGCCGTAGCGATTTCTTAAAAGAAGACAATAAAGTTTGCTACTTTTACTGACTCTTCCTTTCATGAAAGATTTCTCTATAGCGTGTGATACAGTTTGTTAGCATTTTACTCCCAGTAGAACTGCTTTCAAAATTGAAGTCAATCCTCTCAAACCCTGCCACTGCTTTAACAGCTATGTAACATGCTAAATCCTTCGTCGTCATTTCATCTTCACCAGGAGTAAATTCCACCTCAAGAAAACACTTTGCTCATCCATAGAAGAAACATTCCTCACCTGTTGAAGTTTTATCATGAAATTGCAGCAATTCAGTCATATCTTCAGGCTCTACTCCTAATTCTTGTTCTTTTGTTATTTCCACCACATTGGCAGTTACTTCCACCACTAAAGTCTTGAACCCCTCAAAGTTATCCATGAGGGTTAGAATCAACTTCTTCTGAACTCCTGAAAATGTTGATATTTTGACCTCCGCCTATGAATCACAAGTGTTCTTAATGGCATCTAGAATGGTGAATCTTTTACAGCAGGTTTTTCTATTTAGTTTGCCCAGACTTATTAGAGGAATCACTATCTGTGGCAGCTTTCACCTTATGAAATGTAATTCTTTAGGGTTTTTAAAAAACTTTTATTAGAACAATATGAACATATGAAATGTATTTCTTTAACAAGTCTGAAAAGTCAAAGTTACTCCTTTGTCCATGGGCTGCAGAATGGGTGTTAACAGGCATGAAAACAACATTAATCTCCTTGTATACCTCCACCAGAGCTCCTGGATGATGAGGTGCACTGTCAATAAGCAGTAATATTTTCAAAGGAGTATTTTATTCTGAGCAGTGGGTCTCAACAGAGAGCTTAAGATATTCAGAAAACCATGCTGTAAATAGATGTGCTGTCATTCAGGCTTTGTTATTCCATTCATAGAGCACAGGCCAAATAGATTTAGCATAATTCTTAAGAGCCCTAGGGTTCGGGGGATGGGAAATGAGCACTAGCTTCTACTTCAATTCACCAGCTGCATTAGCCCCCAACAAGGGAGTCATCAGCTTGTCCTGTAAAGCCAGGCACTGACTCCTCCTTTCTAGCTATGAAAGTCCTAGATGGCATCTTCTTCCAATACAAAGGTGTTCCATCTACATTGAAAATCCGTTTTTTTGTGTGGCTATCCTCACCAATGATCTCAGCTAGCTCTTCTGGATAACTTGCTGCAGCTTCTACGACAGCATTTGCTGCTTTCCCTAGCACTTTTATGTTCTAGAGATGGCTTCTTTCCTTAAACCTCATGGAGTAAACCTCTTTTAGCTTCAGACTTTTCTTCTGCATCTTCCTTACCTCTCTCAGTCTTCACAGAACTGAAGAGAGTTGGGGCCTTGCCCTGGACTAGGCTTAAGAGAATGTTGTGTCTGGCTTGATCTTCTATCCAGGTCACTTAAACTTCCTTCATATTAACAATTAGCTGTTTTGTTTTCTTATTATTAGTGTTTTCATTGGAGTAGCACTTTTCATTTTCTTCAAGAACATTTCCTTTGCATCCACAGCTTGGCTAACTTACTGGTGCAAAAGCCCTAGCTTTCAGCCTGCATCAGCTCTGGATACGCCTTCCTCACTAAGATTAATCATTTCCACCTTTTGATTTAAAGTGAGAGATACGTTACTCTTCTTTTTACTTGAACACTTAGAGGCCACTATAGGGTTATGAGCCGGCTTAATTTCAGTATTGTTGCATCTCAGGGAACAGGGAGGCCTCAGGAGAGTAAGACAGGGGAACGGCCAGTTGACGGAGCAGTCATAACACAAGCAACATTTATTGATTACGGGCACAGTTTGTAGTGTCCTGAAACAATTACAATAGTAACATCAGAGATCATTGATCACAGATCACCATAACAGATGTACTAACAAATGAAAATGTTTGAAATATTGTGAGAATTAAAAAAATGTATCAAGAGATACAAAGTGAGCACATGCTGTTGAAAAATGGCACCAATAGACTTCCTCTGTACAGGGTTGCCATAAACCTTCCATTTTTCAAAAACACAGTGTCTTCAAAGCACAATAAAGGTGAAACACAATAAAATAATGTATACCTGTAATTGCTTTCTTTCTCCCTGTAGTTCTGCAGCACTAAGGGGAAGACATATAATTGTAGGAATTTTAAATACTCCCTGACATCAAAACAGAGTACAAATTATGACATAGTATCACAAAGATAATATGATATGATTTTTGTCCATTATTACTCTCCTTGGTTCTCACTATAACAAGCTAATGCTAATTTTCTTAAATTAAACATTTTTTCAGGGCTTCCCTGTCAATCTGGTGGTTAGCTACCCTTTTCTGATTCACTATCTCCCCTTTTCATCTGAGGGTGGGTTTGTTTATTTATTCATTGAATAAATAATCTGAGTAATTACTGAGCAGAGGCACTTTGCTAAATACTAGGGATAGAGCCACAAACAAGAAAAACACAATCCCTGCTCTTTGGACCTTCTTATTAAGTGGCAAAAGTAAACACTTTAGGGGCAATGGTGTCATACAATGGGGAAATAACACATAGTATACTGCCTCAATACAATCTCTTTTCAAAAGTTATTTTCATATTTTACTATACCCACTTATTGTAATAAATATAATATTAGTTTAACAATGTTTTAAAATTTCATCTGATCATTATTCTTCCATTTTGGGATCCATATTTTGAAGGAAATAAAAATTCATACTCTTAAACTATACTTGAGTTCCAGCACCCAGACCCCCTGCAAATTAAGGCAGAACTCTCTCGCCTGCCCCAGTTCTTCTCAGACCATGGCCAGCCCCACTCCACTCCCAGACCAAACACCTCCCCCATCACCTGGAAACTTGAGGCTGTCCTTCTCACACCCTGGGCAACCATGCTGGTCACTGTATATGCATCTTCTCCAATCACATCATTTACCCCACTGGTGGTCATTTAAGCATTGAGCCAAGCAGCACTCAAGCCTTCTACACAAACACAAGACATGTAAACTCCCTCTAGTTGATTGACAATTGATCTACTGTAAGATTCAAAAGAAGTTAATCACCTCCATCTAGGTGTCATTTGTTCTCTCTGTAAAATGAAGCTGTTCTTAAAGTAAGATTGTGCATCAGGGCTCTAGGTTATTCATCACTGTTCCACATCCATTCTGAGTCTTTAACTCCCAATATCTTATCATGGCCAAAGATAAAGTGCTTAAGTGGGAAAAAAAGAAATGGAGAGGCCTGACAATGGTGCTTTAGGGGGATAAGGTAGTAGCAATTTTTTTCATAAAGTCTACCTTGGAGTTTTAAGAACATACATTATATTTCAGCAAAGCAGGCAGTGGGGACAGGAAAAGATGCATGTTAGTCCAAAAAACTGACACTAGATAAATGCATTGAAAAGTGTGTTAGGCATTGAAAACTGTGTTGAGACCATGCACATCAACATGCCCTCTGCATTGATTCTGACAGCAGGCCATGCAGCACAGAAATGTTAGTGGCCTGACAATGGCCCTCTTATACTTTTCCTCTTCCAGGAGTTGGTAAGCAGAATAAACAAATAGTAGGTTGTTCTTTTTAATTATTATTAAATGAACACAAGAAAAGGAAATTAATGCCCTGAAGACTTGCGCAAGAAAGGTTGCTTCTGAAATTAATTCTCTATAAAGCTAGAACAGACATAAATTTCAGAAAAGGAGACAAAAATCTCTTTTAGACAAAAAGAGAGCTGGCCAAGGTAAAAACATGCACACATAAACATACACATGCCCGAAATGCAGACTGGGAATCCCAAACCACATAGAGCAGAAGGACAATACAGAAAATGGATCTGGGGCAACTTCAGGGTAGAAAATTAGTCTGCATGTATTCATTCAAAAAATATTTACTGAGCACTTATAACATACAAGGCACTGAACAAGGAAATACAAAACAAAGAAGCCTCAAAGGACTCACAATGTAGTGAGAGGCACAGATACATCCAGAATTTTCCCAGAAGGTGAGAAAGGTCAAAAAAACTAAAATGAGAAAGAAAAGATATATAAGCTGTTAGATACATACCTTTATATCT